ATATATATATATATATATATATATATATAATATACGCAGCGCGGATTTTTTAACTCGAAAAAGACTATTTCTCGAAAGCTAAATCGAAAATAAGAAAATTTTATTGTATATTTATTTTTATTTTTTCATAAGAAATCAGTCACGTCGTGCCCGCTTGTACATATATTTGGCCAGACATATATATTATATAGACATATTATACAGACATATTATAGGTACATATGTATAGAATTCTCAATATATGTATAAGTGAAGTTGTACATACCTTTCAATCTGTGCCCCGTCAGGCCTAGCTAGATAGATACCTAATCTGCCTTTTAATCTAGACAAAAAATAAGTTGCACCGACATCGGGAAACAGTCTTATTGCCGTTTCTGGCATAGCAAAGAGAGTTTTCTCCGTGGCAATTCTGTATTTGCCGTGTACGGATAGTTCAGCACCACCTCCCATTGTTATCCCATTGATGATAGCAACGTAAGGCTTCTTATATGTTGCGATAAAATAAATTAAGCCAGAAGGAAAAGAAATTATTTTTTTTTGCTTATGTAAATAGACGAAAGATACATTTGTTCTTGAACAGACACATTAATTTACGACTTACGTACGTGTACTCCATTCTGACAAATTCTTTAATCCATTCCTTATGAAGCTCCCCTTTTGGTCCAGTCAATGCAAAGGCGTACGTTTTGAGGTCATTACCCGCGCAAAACGCTTTATCACCTGTACTTTCTATTATTATCAGCTTTTTCGAAGATTCCCATTGCTTGAGAGCGGAATGTATCTTTTGGACCATGGACAAATTTAAGGCGTTCAACACATCAGGTCGATTTAAAACTATCACGCCATTATCCCCAATCTTTATGCACACGTAATTAATATAACTTTAATCAATTCTGATAAATTAATAGTATTTGACAAAAATAAAAATTCTGAAACGTAATAATGTGCAAACATACATCCTTTACAAAGACCTTATCTGTAATTGTTTGAGCATTGGCTGTGTTCTTGGTGTCTTTATAAGCTGCAGCTGCAAATATAAGGATTAATTTAAAATCTATTTTAAATAGAGGAAGAGGAATGATGGTATATTTAAGATTTAAGAAGGATTTTTTTACTATACTATAAATTGATATTCTAAGAAAAAACATTACTATATAAAGAATATTTAATATTTGCAAAAATGGGTATGCTTGTGTGGAATTAAATGAATACGATCATAATTGCATCAATGATTGCAAAAGATAGTAGCCTCACCTGTGACAGATCCTGACGTTGATAACCATCTAACAGTAGCGCGTGTAGTTATAGCACTAACGCTTGAATAATGTAATTTTCCTACAATGTTGTATATCTAAAAAAAAAAATTATGACATCAGTACCTCAAGCGCAAGTATTTAACTTCTTTAAATCGAAATTACCATATTTGTAATCTAAACATTATGTTGTTTAATATTAGATTTAATCTAACATTAAACTTCTCTTCTGATAAAATGTAAAATGTATATATGTAATATAAAATGTGTGTATGTATTATCAAACTGTTGGTTGGTGCTATTGGTATAAAACGTATATGTTGGACAGAATTATGTAGGTATTCATAGGCTGCGTTCAGGGAGCGTGTTATCATTAAAACACTCCTTTCGTCTTTGTTTTAAGCCCAATTAACGATAAAAATAATGAGTAGCTCTGATAACGCAATCCTTGAACACAGCCATAGTCTGATATATGTTATATACGTAAAATTATTAAAACACATATTTTGGCATGCCATTTCATTGGCTGGAAATCTTAAGATTACCCAAGACTTCTAAGGTCTCAATTAAAACAATCTTAAATATAAAATTAAATTATGAATACCTATAAACATAAGTATAAATAACATCAAAAAAGAAAGCACGATAGTGAAAATTAGATGCTTTCTTTGTCCGATCATGCAAATTGACAGAATAAAAAAAGAGGAGTCTTCTTCAACGTTCTCACATCAGCTATTTACGTATGCAAACATATAAAAGTTCATTTATTTACATGTTTTGTGCTCCAAATTTAACGGCCATTCTGCTGGTTCTATCGATTCGTCTTTTCCTATCATTCTGCTGTTCAATGTCTTTACGTGACGTGGTAATCGTGTGCGGCATTGTACGATGGTGGCGGCGGCGATAGATATACAAATCAGCTGCATTCGAGTCAACGGAGCTGGAAATGATTCCTGATTACTATCGACCACACAACCAGTTTTTATTACGCATATTCAGCGATGTATGGTGTGAACAAACGCCAGGTAAGTAATCATTCTTCGCGACAAAGATTATATTATTATAAAGTAGGATGGAAACTTTGTGGTTATCATGTAGGATAAAGAAGCAACATAAATAGAAGAAAACCACAAAGGATTTAAGTCAGCAGCGAGATCAAGCAGAAAGTGACAGTTTAAACAAGGGAGCACGGGACAATAATTATAGTTAAAAGAAAAATGAGTATGAACAGCAGGAGACAAGTTTAAGTGAAGAATTTAACGACAAAGTGGGATAAGAATGCTATAATTAATATACTCGTAGTAATTTGAAATAAAGAACTTACAAGGGAACCTCGCAGTGTGAAATTCTAATTTTGATGAAACTTGGTACATACACTTTAAAGTTACATAAATAAATGAATTTAGAAATTATCAGTTGGTGCTAAAAAAATGGTTTAAAGGGATGAAACCACCCCTTATATGTAAATTAATTTTTTTTCGTTATGCCTCGAAAACTATTCAAGACATCAAAAAATGTTGCTAATAAAAATTTTACAATAAAATTACCTCTAGTCATTTACGTTAATAATATTTTTTTAGAATAATTATATTTTAGAAAATTTTTGAAAATAGTAGTTAAAAAAATTCTATTAATGTAAATGAATAGAGATAATTTTACTGTAAAACTTTTGTATAAAACATTTTTTGATATCTTGAATAGTTTTCGAGATATAACGAAAAAAAATTTAATTTACATATAAAGGATGTGGTTTCATCCTTTTAAACCGTTTTTTAGCACCAACTAATAATTTCTAAATTTATCTATTTATGTGACCTCAAAGTGTACCAAGTTTTATTAAAATCAGAATTTCACACTTTGCAATGTTCTCTTGTTAGTCAGGAGGACAGGGAGAAAACACAGCGAAGAAAAAAAAGGAAAAGAAACAAATTATCTATCAAGATATAGTGTAAAAGTAGAAAAATAAAGGAATTAGGACATAAGGATGAGGGGACAGCATCTGTAGGAAGAACTGAAAGCTGAAAGAATTTACAGAAATGCAGAAATGGAAAAAAGGAATAAATGTACAAGAAATAAATATATGGAAGAAAAAGAATTGAGACTAGGAAAGAAACAAAGATAGAGGAAAACAGAGAAAAGCAATGAACTTGAGAGTAGAAATAGGAAGAGAATGGAAAGAAGATTGAATGTAAGGAAATAGAAGAAGAAAAGACTAGGAAGATGAAGAAAAATAAATATTGAACAAAATTAATTTGAGAGATTAGTAGCTCAGATAACCAAGCGGGATTCGTCATATCGAGCAAACTAATACATTGCTACGAGTTGTTGCATATTTGCCATACATTTGTTGACATCGAAAAACAATACATTACGAATACAGCAACATAACTGCTTATACGTGT